CTCATCACATGGTTTTTAACTGGTTTATGGTTCATCATTACATCTTAAAGGGCACCTATGGTGAAAAATCCACTGTTCAAGCTGTTTGGACAGATGTGGTGTAGCTGTAGTGTATAGACCGTCATATTGGGCTGATATAAACACACACAGTGCTTTTTTTTTTTAATTTAACAACATAAAAACGGTGGAGCAGTTTTCAGACCGACTGTATTTTGATGTAGGAGTGTGGTCCCCCGGCCACAACTGATTGACAGCTGCGTGTATTAACCAACCCAGGCTCATTGTGGAAACGTAGCCCCGCGGGCGTTTCTGGAGACCGCGAAATACGTCCCGGGAGGTACGTATTTGTGTAGTTTTTGTTTTCGCAAATCCGCGAGAGACCGCTGTGCCACGCTTTTTCACGTCTTGAACGCCTATCGGGAGTGTGCGCTGTTTGCGCCCGTGCTGTTCTCACGTGAAAAGCCGCCGGAGGCCACTGTCGAGCGACTGTCTGTCCGACTGACTGAATGACTGAACGATCGACTGGGCGGCCGGCCAATCAGCCGACCCCGCCACCCTCCTCCTTTCCTAAACCCAAGCGACGATTTACAAAAGCCGTCCAGAAAAGAAAAGCAAAAGCCCTCGTCCAATTTTGACCGAGTTTTCGTATTTCACCGCATTCTCGCCCCTGAACTTGTTCGCTTTTATTTTTTGGATTTTGTTTTTCATCTTACCTGATTTCTGGAATCACTGTTCCCCCGGACTCGAACCCGGTCGTCGCAGCGGGTGGCTCCTCCTCCTCCAGGCCTTCGCTCTTGTAACACTACGAGCTAAGCGGACAAACTGGTTGTGGCGGGGAAACCCTCCACATGAAGGTAAGCCGTCACAGCAAGCGAGCACGAAGAAGAGGAGCAGCGTCACACTGCCCCGTAGTGTTCGCTCGAAAAAACGAAATGCGGCCATACGTACCTCCGGCCACGTAAGTCACGGTATCCAGAAACGTCTGCTGGGCTACGTTTTCTGATTAAGCTTGGGTTGGTATTAACATGTCCCGGTAGTCACGTGTATAATCATATCAACAAGACAGGACATGCGCAAAGCAACCGGGAATAAAAGGTCTGTTCAGTTTGCTAGCATCATCAAATGTGATCAAGCATAAGTTTAACATGTTTTAAATCAGTGCATGTGTGTAGCACAGCCGCGTGTCACAACAATTATAAAGGAAGACGATTCAATCCCGGTTTGTGGACGTTAAATCAGGTTTATTCTGTACATTAACATAACAGATGCGTTTTTAACATATTAACAGATTTTTGCGTGCAAAAAGAGTGCAACGCTAAATGCACGCCGTCTGTGTGTGTGTGCGTGAACTTTGTAACAACATCGTTGCGACCTAACACAGCAAGTGCATCAGATAATCAATGGTAAAGTTCTTACCTAGTGGTTAGTGTGTCGACATATGGTGCAGTAGCACGTCAGGGCGTCCCGAGATCGAAGAGAATGAATCGTCTTCATAACGAGTCTTTAGCCGTTTCGGCGTGACGTGACTACGAAACATAATTGTTGTGGGGGCGCAAACCCGGGAAAATTTAAACCTAACACAGCAAAGACAAACAGATCCTGAAGTCATGAGTCAAGAAGACGCTGTGCTTACCTGGATATTATTGGAAGTGTGAGGGGATAGAAGTGATTCAGCAGTCTACACGCTTACAGTGGGCGATTCATTCGTTTGTTAAAGGAAGGATCAGAAAAGACTGGTGTATGAGACTTGTGAGAATGGGCAGACAATACACCAGGGGTGCGTGCAAAATAAGGCCAGTTTATTAGGCACAGAGGCAGCCTGCTACACGCTGGTGAGCACTACAAGCCCCTTGCTGGGGATGGGATCTTTGGGCAAAGCAGAGTACAGGTGAGTCCTGAGAACATATAACACTTCACGCAAGAGCTGCCACAGCAATAACTGCAAATAGAAATGATCTAAGTTACAGCTGAGAAGGGAGAAAAGCTCGGTCACGGAAATCACGCTCAGTGAATGATGTGCACGCTGTCGGTTTCATTTTCACTGCTAAGTGCCGTTCATACTTCCCGTGCAGGGGGTAATGACGGTCACGGGGTTATTGCGCGGCCAGTCCACCGGGGGCTTGACAAGCCGCTTTGGGCATTTGTGTAGCGCTGAACGCTGTCGACCAATCGCAACAGGCTGTCATCGGTCCAATCAGCGCAGATTAGCTTCGCGCTAAGGAGGGGTTTGGGAACAAATGAATCGCTGGACGACTCATATGGGAGTCGCTGGGATAATTGGGTAAAAATAAATGCAGATTATAAGACCATGAAAGTGTTTTTTGACCTTGCATGCAGATCAGTATGTTGTTGGAGATCCATATAACCCAAATATGACCCTTTTTCATGTGTAATATGGGCTCTTTAAGGCACGCAGAAAGGCATGTAGAAACGGTGGGCGGGGAGGACTCACCTTAAAGGCGCAGTACAACAAAACCGCCTCCTGGTGCAAAAATGTATAAAAGAGACTCTTGTAAACGCTATAATGAAGAGTCTGATGGGTGTTTTGAGCTGAAACTTTACAGACACATTCTGGAGACACAAAAGACTCATATTAAATCAGAAAAAAAGGATAACCTTGGTGCCCTTTACAGTTTTTTTAATTCTTTACGCACAATTTTAAAAACCGGGTTCTTTTTTTTCAAAATATAATCACAATTATTCAAACAGCACTCTCAGTTTGCAGATTTCCTAGATTGTTTGCGAAATGACACACTTCAGTCAAAACATACACACATGTTTGTGAAAATGCTGTCAGCTTTCATTTGACCAACACAGTCCTCAATGATCAGACACTACTGCAGACAGTTTCACACTGCTGTGATAAATTAAACACATTTGTTAAAACACTAATTTCAGGAAATAGCATGTGCCAGATTGTTATGTGAGGGAACATTCCGATGACAAAACAAAATAGTGACAAACCCACAACATTCTTCATGATGAGTTTGAGATATAGGGAGAATGTACACTAATAGGCCCACTATACACTGATCAAGCACTGCACTACACTGATGCTGCGCACTGAATAAGCAAGTTTTAATTTCAATTCAAGAAATGCAGTATTTCTGCTGAGATTTGCTTGAACTCTTTGTGCAGCTTCCATCAGTGTCAGTCCATGCTTGATAACTTGGTCAATAAGTGTTGCACGGATTTCTTGAGTCACATTTGTTCCTCGTCTTCTTGGTTCAGGTTCTATCAACTCTTCAAATCCTTCTCTGCCTCTTCCTCTACCTAGGCCTTTTCCTCTACCTCCTTCTCCTCTTCCTCCTCTTTGAGCTCCCCCTCTCATTCTCACTCTTCTTCTAGCTCCTTTCATTTGTGATGAATAACGATGAACTCACCTGCTGCCTTTTACAGCACACCTGAGTGCTGTGTTTTCAGATTAGCACATGTGCTTCCACACCTTGTGGATGTGTTTATCCAGTTCGTTCATTAGCGTGGTCATTGGCAATCCGGGGCTTTGTAATGACAAGGAAGTAACCTCGCAATCCTTACATGTGTCTAAGGTGTCGAAATGTGTAGAGTTTTACAAATCACTGTGTGTAATGTTTTGCAAAAAGAGTGAAGCAGACACTGTGTGTGATGTTGTGCAAATCAGCGGCCGTGTTTTGCTCCTTGGAGTAAATTTTTGCAAATTGTGTGGAAATTTTTATTTTAGACTGTAAACACTCATAAAAAACTGTAATATGCGTGTGTGTGTGTGTGTGTGTGTGTGTGTGTGTGTGTGTGTGTGTGTGTGTGTGTGTGTGTGTGTGTAGTAAGATGCTGAAGATCTGTGGAGAAGCTCAAGACAGCCTCGCTCAGGAGCTTCTGCTCTTCGAGCTGCAGATCGAGCGGGACGTGGTGGAGCCGCTGTACACTCTCTCTGAGGTCAGACACACTACAACAGACTACTGCATCAGAGTTCTGTACCACAAAATAAAGACGTATAATAACATATTAATACCAACAGTACTTTTTGACCTATAGAAGTAATAAAATATAAAGCACTGAATGTTTGTTCAGTTCATGAAGGGCGGCACGGTGGCTCAGTGGTTAACACTGGTGTCACAGCAAGAAGGTTGCTGATTCGAGTCAGTTGGTGTTTCTGTGTGGAGTTTGCATGTTCTCCCCGTGTTCTTGTAGGTTTCCTCCCCCTCTCCAGTTTCCCCCACAGTCCAAACACATGCGCCATAGGGGAATTGATCAACTGAATTGGCCGTAGTGTATGTGTGTGTGTGTGTGTGTGTGTGTGTGTGTGTGTGTGTGTGTGTGTGTGTGTGAATGAGTGTGTACAGGTGTTTCCCAATACCTTATTTATCAGAGGTTGTCACAGCGGAATGAACCGCCAACTATTCTAGCACATGTTTTACACAGCGGATAATGTTTTAGCTGCAACTCAGTACTGGGAAACACCCATACACACTCATTCACACACACACTCATACACTACGGCTAAGTTAGTTCATCAATTCCCCTATAGCGCATGTGTTTGGACTGTGGGTGAAACCGGAGCACCCGGAGGAAACCCACGCCAACACGGGGAGAACATGCAAACTCCACACAGAAACACCAACTGACCCAGCCGAGACTCAAACCAGCCTGCTGAGAGGCCACAGTGCTAACCACTGATCCACCGTGTTGCCCAGAAACATTTATATTTGTTTGAATAAAGTGTTTTCTCTAAAAGCAATAAGACTGCTCTTTCTCCTTCTGCTTTTATTTTTCTTCCTCAAAGGTTGAAATTCCCAACATTCAGAAGCAAAGAAAACATTTAGCCAAACTGGTCCTGGACATGGATTCTGCTCGCACACGGTGACGTTACAGTGCTTTCATGTGTATCTTATTTTAAATATGACCTCAAAAAATAAATATATATGCTAAACTCTGTGATTATTCATTATCTGTTTTTATTTAATTTCTATATTGTTATAATATTATATATATATATATATATATATATATATATATATATATATATATATATATATATATATATATATATATATCCAGTGGCGCAAAAGGGGGTATGCAGTATATGCGGCGCATAGGGGCGCCACACATGGGGGGCGCCATTGTGTCAAAACTATTTTTGAAGTTGTCCATATTAAAAGTTTCAAATAATATATATATATATATATATATATATATATATATATATATATATATATATATATATATATATTTATATATATTTGTTAAAAATGTTTATTTAGCATTTTATATGCGTATAATATTGTATTTTATTAAATAAAAAAATCATTCCACCCCCCACCCCCATTTTTCATACCATATACATGTTTTTATGAATTTAATATGTATCATATTGATTAATCCAGCCTTTTGGTACCTTCTTAGCTCAAAACTATTTTAATTTTAGCTACAAACAAAGTTATAAAATGTCAATTAAATAGAACATTTGTTTGTTTCTGTTTTTTTTTTTTTTGTTACACTAAACATTTGACAGTCTTTTTTATTTAACTTTTAGCAGTTTCAGTCAATTGTTCTTGCAAAGACAGACCTTACACTTCTCACAGTATGCATGTGAGAAGTAATTGCAATGTTCTTTTGCCCTTTAGGACTCCCATGTCTATCATTTTGTTTTGACAAATGTAGTACAAAAAGTCCAAAAGCAAGGCTAGTCAAGGTGCTATAATCATTTAGTGAGGGAAAATTAAATTGAGAAGAAATTTGGGATGGTAAGAGATGCATTTCTTTGCGATTTAACATGCTTAATGTAATTATACCTTTTACTACTTCATACTATTTCAGTTGTGTTCAGAACTGCAAAACTGTATTTTTTGAAGCATATTGATATCTTTATGAAAAAATATCTTTAATTTATTGATGGAAATATTTTCCACATTTGATCACTTGCCTGTTATAAAATATAGTTGGATTGAAGGGGGGCCTTGAAGGGGGGCCTTCAAAAGTTGAAGCCGCATACCCATCAGCAAATGTGCAGTTGCGCCCCTGTATATATATATATATATATATATATATATATATATATATATATATATATATATATATATATATATATATATATATATATATTTAATTCCCTAATTACCCTAATTTAAGTTAAGCATTTAAATGCCACTTTAAGCTAAACACTATCATCTTGTGAAATATCTAGTCAAACATGAAGGGCTGTCATCATGGCAAAGAGAAGACAATTTAGTTATTAGAAATTAGTTATTAAAACTGTAAAAAATTATTATTAAATCTTAATTATTTATATATTATTCACTATAATATTACAATTAACAATTAATTTGTGAATATTAATGTAATACATCTTTAATTTAAATTACTGATTAAATATTCGTCATATTCATTTTATTATATTATAATTATTTAAAAATTTACTTATTTTGAACATAACTAATAAATATTCATTATTTTTACAATAAATATTTCAATATTTATTGAATATTTAAACATTCAAATAAACACCATTTGAGTATTTGAATTGCTTATGTGCCATTGTTATGTACAATATGTCATGCAGTGTGTTCTGTTATATATTTCCATGCGACAAATACATTAACACGTCGTGCTCTGCTGTGAACTGTAGGTGGCATCAGTCCTCCAAATCCTCAACTCTGTCCAATAAGGAAACGCCAACAGGGGCCAAAGCCGACGCCCTCAGGGAGGAGATGGAGGAGGCGGCCAATCGCATGGAGATCTGCAGAGTGGGTGGAGCTTCTCCATTTCTCTCTCAGTATATATATACAGATTAAAGACAGAATGATTCGCCCTGCTGTTAATTTATGTAAATGATGTATAACAGATTCAGGAATTGTTCACAGTTTATTTTATAGAATAAAAGCAGTTCTTAATTGTTTTAAAGTCATATTAAGCTCAATATTATTGGCCCCTTCAGCAATATTAGTGTTGGATTGTCTCCAGAACAAACCACTGTTATACAATGACTTGCCTAATTACCCTAACTTTACCCTAATTACCCTAGTGAAGCCTTTACATGTCACTTTAAGCTGAACACTAGTGTCTTGAAGAATATCTAGTCTAATATTATGTGCTGTCATCATGACAGAGAGAAAAGACACCAGTGATTGGATATTGAAGTATGTACTTGTATGTTAATGGAGTGTGATTGTTTTCCAGGATCAGCTCTCAGCAGACATGTACAGTTTCGTGGCCAAAGAAATTGACTATGCAAACTACTTCCAGACGGTGAGTGAGATCCTCATTTAGCTGAACAGCTCCTCTCTTTATTATTGATTAATATCTGGGTGTTTGTGTTCAGCTCATAGAGGTTCAGGCGGAGTATCACAGGAAGTCTCTGGAGCTCCTACAAAGCGTTCTGCCACAGATTAAAGCTCAGCAAGGTGAGAATCATGTGTTTCCTCCGGGTGCTCCGGTTTCCCCCACAGTCCAAACACATGCGCTATAGGGGAACTGATCAACTACACCAGCACTAGTGTGTGTGTGAATGAGTGTTCATAGGTGTTTCCCAAAACTGGGTTGCAGCTGGAAGGGCATCCGCTGTGTAAAACATATGCTGGAGCAGTTGGTGGTTCATTCCGCTGTGGCGACCCCTGATTAATAAAGCGACTAAGCTGAAGGAAAATGGACTTTTATTGAATTTGAATATTGAGTAGGGGGTGGGGTTAATTTTTAAGCTCCTCCTCTCATCTTTTATGTTTAGAGAACTAACAATTGAAGGGGCGTGGCTAATCATATTTCAGCCAATTAGAATATTCAGAGAGGGACTGCTGTTCCAGAGCAGAAGCAGATGGGCAGATTTTATTAAAGAATACTAAAACAAACTCTGTGCTTTGTGGTTAATGCCGTCGGCTCACAGCAGGAGGTCTCTGGTTTGAGTCCCGGCTGGGTCAGTTGGTGTTTCTGTGTGGAGTTTGCATGTTCTCATGGGTTTCCTCCGGGTGCTCCGGTTTCCCCCACAGTCCAAACACATGCCCTATAGGGGAACTGATCAACTACATTGGCTGTAGTGAATGAGTGTGTATGGGTGTTTCCCAGCTGGAAGGGAATCCACTGTGTAAAACATGTGCTGGAATAGTTGGTGGTTCATTCCGCTGTGGCGACCCCTGATTAATAAAGGGATTAAGCAGAAGGAGAATGAATGAATGAAGTATATATTATAGTCTGTGTGAACTGGAAGTTGCTGCAGACTTTTATTGAAAATGAATATTCAGTAGGGGGCGGGGTTTATATTTTGGCTTCTCCTCTCATCTAACGGCTTAAGGGGTGTGGCTAAGCGTATTTCAGTCAATCAGAGTCATCAGAGAAGGACTGCTGTTCCAGAGCTGAAGCAGATGGGTAGATTTTGTTAAAGATTACTAAACCAAACTGAGTTGATTGACTTTTACAGATTAATTGTTCACCTTAAGACTCATAATGTGCACTAGCAAAATTGACGTTGCTCATTTTGATTTCTTGCTGACTTTAATATCATATTATTTTTTAGTAATGTCATTGATCGTGATACACACCCTGACTATAACCAGCGCTCAACGTTTCTGTTGGGTTTCTGTCAATTGGAAAAAAGTAGAGAGAGAAAATAAAGTGCATTTATGTTAAATAGTTCATCCCATCCTCAGCTACTTTACTATACATGCAAAATGATATATCAATTTTATATTGCAAAATAAAATGGAAAGAAGTATTGATTAAAATGTATTTAAAATCATATTGCTGAGTGAAGAAGCTCTTGTTGCCAGTTTTTATAAGCATTGTGTTGATATTTCAGTGAATTTCTCATTCATTCATTCATTTTCCTTCGGCTTAGTCCCTTATTTATCACAGTGGAATGAACCGCCAACTATTCCAGCATATGTTTACGCAACAGATGCCCTTCCAGCTACAATCTAGTACTGGGAAACACCCATACACACTCCTTCACACACACACTCACACACTACGGCCAGTTTAGTTGATCAATTCCCCTACTAGGCCACTGTACCGGTCATTCATTCATTCATTTTCTTTTTTGTTCAGCTTAGTCCCTTTATTAATCTGGGATTGCCACAGTGGAATGAACCGCCAACTTATCCAGCAAATGTTTTACACAGTGCATGCCCTTCCAGCTGCAACCCATCACTGGGAAACACCCATACACACTCATTCACACATATACACCTACCCAATTCCCCTATAGCGCATGGAGGAAACCCAGGCCAACATGGGGAGAACATGCAAACTCCACACTGAAACGCCAACTGACCCAACCGAGGCTCAAACCAGCAACCTTCTTGCTGGCTATTGTGCTACCCACTGTGCCGGCCATTTCTTTTAAAAAATATACAGTAATATGATGAAAATGCATGAAATTGTGGGGTGACACAGTGGCTTAGTGGTTAGCACTGTCGCCTCACAGCTAGAAGATCACTGGTTCGGGTCAGTTGGCGTTTCTCCCATGTCCCCCGGGTGCTCCGGTTTCCCCCACAGTCCAAACACATGTGCTATAGGGGAACTAAATTGTCCGTAGTGTATGAGTGTGTGTGTGAATGAGTGTGTATGGGTGTTTCCCAGCAGCTGGAAGGGCATCCGCTGTGTAAAACATATGCTGGAATAGTTGGCGGTTCATTCCACTGTGGTGACCCCTGATAAATAAGGGACTAAGCTAAATGAAAATGAACGATACAGCTTTAACCCCTGTACTCTATCTACCTGACCCATGTGTTGTTGACCTGTCGGTGGTGTGTGTGTTTCAGAGTCGTGGGTGGAGAAGCCGTGTTACGGTAAACCTCTGGAGGAGCACCTGACTCTGAGCGGGAGGGAAATCGCCTTCCCCATTGAAGCGTGTGTGACCATGCTGCTGGACTGCGGCCTGCAGGAGGAGGTCAGCTCTCACTCAATCATAAGCGTTCATAACTGATAAACACTCACTCATGAACATCTATAGCACGACAGCACTGCAGGAGAACGCTGATATGAGTGTGTGTTTGGTTTATAGGGAGGACAGATGTTCATCCTGATTAGCTTCTGT